CAGGAAGTGTCCGGGGATACGGAGCGAGAGAGAGAGAGAGAGAGGTTAAATTGGCCGTGAGTTAAACCGATGCTCCGGGGTCCCCGATAACGATTCCATTCTAAACTTTCTCACGTCCCCGACAAATGACAATTCCGTGTTCCTGAGGCCGTACGTGGCCGCCGAGGACGAGGAAACGGCGAGAAGATTCAGGAGCGAACGTCGCGTTCACCGTTGCCCGGAACCGACGTGTCGAACCTTGGTGCTTAACTTCCTTATTCCATTTGCGGGCCTTTTGCCGAATCCCGAGGAAGCCTCCAAAAGCTCTTCCACTAACCCCTTATTAAGATTTAATTCCCCGCCGCGCCTTGGATCTTAATGTTTAGATTTTTCCTCATTTTTCATTTTTTTACCAATTATTAAAGAGTGCTACTTTCGTGTCCGGCGGTTAGTAAGTACCTTGAGTATGTTTTTGCGATTTTCAAGCTTGATATAAATTACAGGGATATGACTGATTATTATACGGCAAGGGTTAATAAGACTCGATTCGTCTCTTAACGAAATTAAGGCGGAGTTGTCATCGCGTGACCACCCTGAAAAGTACCGAAAAAGGAAATTCAATTACGCCCTCGACGCACTAATTAAAGGCCACGTTGCAATTAGAACTCGCGTTTAGATAGTCGCCTTCCTAGTTTGGACCCCCAGGGGTTAATTCCCGAGATTAGTTCGTATATTAAGGGGCGAGAGTTAGCCTGAGAGTCAAAAGTGTTTGCAAGGAGCGATCAGCTGATCGCGTCGCGGTGCTCTCGGGAGGAAAAAGAGCTTTTTCGAGGGGCCAATAAGTCTCTCCCTTTTCCTTGAGCTTTATGGAACTCTCCGCTCGGCAGATATAATACCCTGTTACACGCCACCGTGGCTGTGTTCCCCGGTACGTGACACTCGTGTCGATTAATCGCCGGTATTAATGGAGCCCGCCGGGCATACCGGTAAGGAAAAAAGGAAGAGGAGCGGAAAGAAGGAGCGAGACGAGAGAGGTCGCCTTTATCGGACACGCTCGCGAATAAATAATTCATCCGCTCGCGAGCGAATTATTCGGTCGTTTGTGAATGACGATCCGTTTGGTAGGAAAATGAGCCGCGGTGCAGCCAAGACACGGACATTGCTGAATATTTATCCGCCGAGCGTTGACTGGTCAAGAGCACACTCGCCAGGATTAGCCATTTTGTCCCCGAGAATGCGCAATCCCGTGGATATCGTCCTCGCCGTCGTTATATCACTATTCGCGATCCGGGGACGTAATGCATTTGGGTAATGCGATTTTTCTCATTACTTTCCTTCTATAGTCTGCTTCCGCGATAACGGCGCGTTGTCGGAAATCATCACGTACATGATATCTTTTTCTCTTTAAAAATCCGTCCCGAGGTCGTAATTCGCCTAGGGCAAACCATAGTCATTGTCACACCAGGCCCCGTGATCCTCGTTACTCGGGGACCACGTCCAGGATCGGCGCACGTACCCATCTCGCGTACCCCGGGGATAACTCGGTCCCTTGGTCTTTACATATGCGGCTAACAGGAACCCCGCTTACATGGCACATAGATACGTACGTATATATTATTGACCATTAGCCTGCAGCTGACGGAAGTGAGAGACTAAGGTCACGACAAGAGGCAGGCTTGCATCTCAACGCGGTACCGTGGCCTTCGGACGTACACCGTGCATGGCAGTAAGGGGGCAATTATGTGCCGAGTGCTCGCCATACGCGTTACACGCAGCTCTCCGAGGAGTTCCGGAAAAGTGCGTGGGACAAGCCGCGGGCCTAATTGCCGGCATACAGGGAACGTTTCAGGCGGGATTTGCATTAACATTTCGCGTTGACACGACGCGTTACATCCGGGGACCAGTTTAGAAAACGACCCGGAAAGTCGGCGACCTGAGTCGCGCCGAAATTGGTGGTCCCTCTTTCATAAATATATTTTTTATCCCCTCATGCATCATACATTACGAAACGAGTACCATCATATATTACAAATGACGCGGATTACGAATGATTTTTTTATTTCAATCGCCATTTAGCGGGAAGAACGAGATGAGATTTGGAAAGTATCGATGACGATCAGACATGGCGACTTCGAGGTGACACGGCGTTAGGGATCATTAACTTTGAAATCTCGGCTCGATTTCTGTCAAAACACGGGCGCTGTACAGAGGTACCTAGACTCGCGTCTCGTACATCCTTATACGGCAAAGGGTTATAATTACTGGGGCTCAGCAAAGCGTGTTACGCGCCGCTCGGCCGCCCGGCGGTTCCGGAAAAGCGCGCGGCCGAATCGCGGGGATGGACGGATGTTGTGAAAAGTTGAAAGAAATTTGAATTTCACATCAACCGGCCTCCATGCCCGGCGCGATCTTTACTGCCCGTCGGGTTGGGAAAGAAGGAATCATAAACCGTGGACGGGGGGCTCGTATATTTAAAATTCACAGTCAAACGCGCTAACGCGCCGCGCGGTCTGCATTAGCATCGGGATCAAGGACAGAAATCAGTAACTGCGTTGCTTATCGGGTCTGATATCAATTTTATTTAGTCTCTGTAGGGTGTTACAATTCAAAGTTGCCGCCGCAGAGGAGATATATCCAGGTCGACACGGAGTTCCGCATCCCCGGTTCCAGCGGAGCTCCGGCTGGCTCGACCGCCGCCGCCGAACTGCGCGCGCCGGCGCCGCGCTCCGGAAGCCCGCAGATCTCGATCGGCGGCGGGTCACGTGACCGTTCGGGGGCGCGCGCGCGCACGTCCGTCGCGCATGTCCCGCGGAGCGGATCGCCGCGCCTAATTGCTAGGCGAAGCCGGCCGTGTTTTCCTCTGAATATGCAACGCGCATGCGCGGACGTACCGAACAATGGGTCCACCGATGCAGTCGCTCGCCCGCGACCGCGGAGGGCGCTACCGGGGAGGTTAGGATCGCTCGAGGTTGGGACTGACGGAGGTTAGGATACCTCGAGGTTAAGTCGCAGGAAGTTGGGATCGCAGGAAGTTAGGATCGCGGGAGGTTAGCTCGCAGGAAGGGCCTTCGTACTTGGCCGACCATGCACCGGAATCGCGATCTAACGAAGGTCGGCTCGAGAGCTGCCCCCTCCTGGGGGTTGCCCCAAGTTGCCTCACCTTGGCACACATCTCGCGGGCAACGCGTTGCCGAGATGCTCGGTATTATGCACCCCATGCGTGCAAGGTCGCCTGTGGGAAGGGACAGGTAGAGAGAGAGACAGGCTCTACTTGGATCCACTCTTAGATCGAGATCGATCGACTCGATCTTTCAATTTCGAGAATTCGTCAAGTTCGTCGGGTGGGAGTAAAAGTGAATAATTTCGAAACGCGTGGGATGAAAAATGTGGAAATTCGGGGTATTACCTGTACTTGCACGATGTCCGGTGGTTTGGGCGTAAGTGTATTTTCGGACGGTAATACCTGGTTATTAGCTCGAAGGAGACGTTGAAAAAAAAATTAGGGGAGGTTAAGTGGAACCGGAAATTGAAGGTATCGGCGTTGCTCCAGTGACCCAGTGGGTTGCCCGGGGTTGCTCGGGTTGCCCCGCCGTACCTTCGCGTGCGCTACCTTGACACACATTTTCGCAAGGTGTTGCCATTCGGGCCTGGCATTATGCACCCCGTGAGAACGTGGAACTCGGGGAGGGTCAGAGGGGGATCCGCACCTTTTCTCCGTTTGGCTTGGTTATTAATGCGCGAAAAGGGGTTATTACCGAGTTTACGAGGGGAGGGACGCTCGCCGGGGCGAACGGGCAGATGGAGAGGAATTACTTTTGCGAAAGGGCCATCGCCGTCGTAATTGCGTTAAGAATGCCGATTGTCGCGTGAATTAACGCTCGTTCGGGATTACTTGTGCCGCGAATCGCTATTCCGACTCATTGAAATGGTATATCTTGCGATCTGGTGACGGGGACCAAGATGGCGGCCGCGGCGTCGCGTCGTTGTACAAAAGAGGCCTAGATGACTGGTGACTTCAACTATGACGAACGACTTTTGTGCTCGCTCGGTGCCTTTACATCGAGAGTGATCGATTACTCCTACCCACCTACGTGGATAATGATAGGTACACGCCGGTAATTGCTGTAAAATCGCGCACTTGGCTGCGCGCACGCCGCAACAATTGCGGCCGCTTCCTTCCGCGGCTTTCATCTATTTCGGAGGACGGCGAGTGAAACAATGCCTCTTTATTCATTAATGACTCCGATTTACGTCGCGATCGTCCTTGCAGTTGGGTTTACGAATTTCCCCCTGGGTGATGGATAATCATTTCTAATGTTAGTAAATGTTAATTGACTGTTTGGGCCGTTGGTCAACGCCGAATTTTTATCTTGGCTACGACCCTTTGACAGAGGTGCAGTCCCTCCCCCTGTTCCTAGGATCATGGTCTTGACCCAGTCTTGCGGACTGGTTCCGGACCGGTACCTCGGTGGTACCAGTTTTGGGCCCTCTGTGCCCTCGTGGGCACTTTTGTGCCCCTGTTCCAGGTTTGGGCCTCCTTAAGAACGGATTCTTAGATTTGATTCTACCCGGGACCGGCTTGACAAGTTCCTGCACCGAGGTGACAAAGTTCCCGTGAGAACGCAGTGACTTCCGCTCCGTGCAGCCACGGTTGCGCTTTTAGTCACGACCGAGCGACTCGAGGAGTTACGTAGCCTAACTTCGACCTCTCTTATCCCTCCGCAAGCTTTGGCTAGGCGTTCCTAGGAAGCTACTCGAAACTCCCCGAGTGGGCCCTCGACTTTCGACTCCGAAGACCCGAAGATTCGGGATGGCCGGGTCGATGCAAAGAGAGGCTGGGGTCGCTTCCCGCTAAAGTGCCTCCTGATTACATCTCGTAACTCGCTCGCGAATTCCCCGAAATAGACGATCAAAGGCGAATCTAGGGTTGGAAACATTTGGGGAAATGCTCAGGTGCTGATGAGTTCGTGCAATATCTTCAAACGAGGTAAATGAAGGATTCCTTTCGCTTTCTGTTGCAGACCAAGAAGAACAACCCAAACCACATAAAGCGACCAATGAACGCGTTCATGGTCTGGTCGCAGATCGAGCGTAGGAAGATCTGCGAGGTGCAGCCGGACATGCACAACGCGGAGATCAGCAAGAGGCTGGGAAGGCGCTGGAAGACGCTGGACGAGGCCGAGAGGAGGCCCTTCATCGAGGAGGCCGAGAGGCTGCGCCAGTTGCACATGATGGAGTACCCCGACTACAAGTACCGCCCTAGGAAAAAGACGACGAAGCCGGCGCCAGTACCGAAAGCGAAGGAGTCGAAGAAGCCGAAAAAGAGCTCGCCGACTTCCGGGACGACGACCACCCCTGTACTCTCGGCGAAGCCGAAAAACGACACCAACAACAACATGCAGACCCCGGTGAAGAGGTTGCAGTCGCCCCCCACAACGAATCCCGTGTCGAGGCTTAAGGTCCGCCTAGCTCTGGACAAGAGGCCCACCGACTACACCCCGGCACCGCCCATCGTCACCGCAAAAGTGCCCAGCAGTCCATCCTGCGACACCCCGGACTCGCCCGAGTCCGCCAGCTTCTACGACGACAACTTCCTAGAGTGCAACGCGGCCGGCTTCGTGACGGCAGCTGCACCTGCGGCTCCTCCGGCTGCACCTGCGAGCACGACGATGGTGGGGGTCGCGTCCGCAGTGGGGATCGCCACGAAGATCAAGCAGGAGAACACCATACCCCAGGCCACCGAGCTGGACTTCAAGACGGAGTTCAAGCCGGACTTTGCGAACGATCGGCTGTTGTCCTCGGTCAGGCCGTTCGCCAGGGAGCTGGAGATGAGTCCCCTCGAGAGGAACTTCCAGAGGATACCCATGGGTGGCTGCATGGACGGCTCGTTCGTGGTCAAGCAGGAGCCCATCGAAGTCGCCTCTGGACAGAACGTCAAGCTCGAAGAGCCCACGAACTCCAGCCTGGCCGACCTTGATTCCTTGACGGACCTGCTCCAGATACAGCCGTCCGACTTCAAGCTCGACCTCGACATGGAGACCATCACCACGGACCTCGACTCCTTCGAGACAGCCAGCTCCAGCAGCGGGTCGCATTTCGAGTTCACCTGCACCCCTGATGTCACGGACATGCTCTCCGATATCGGGGTGAACAACGAGTGGGTCAGCTTTTGAGGCGGGACCAGAGGGGAGCGAGCCCGTTGAAGTCGTCTAACTTGCTGATGTCGACGTCGAGGAGCCACGTCGGATCCTAGGGCGACCAAGGCCTAGGTTACTTTGGAGTCGCGACTCCTCCTGGCACCCTCTTCAGGGTCTTTGGCGAGATTAAATCAGTCTTCTCCGGGGAATGGACGGGGAGCAAAGAGGAGCAGGACGGGTCCGGCTTGCCACGGTTTGGAGATCGACATGGTGGAGCCAGGGCGCCTTCCATGGACCAGAGTGAGGGAAGTTGGCGGTTCCTTGGGCATCTTGTGATGCCGTCTCATCGGTTCCACCCTCATCGAGCTAGGAGTCCACTTGGGGGCTTTCCGAAGGTGGAGAAGTCGCGGTCGCTGCCTCTGTCTTCCAAGGCCACCAAGAGCTCCTCTCGGAAGAGGTCGACTTCGGTCATCCTAGAACCATTGTTGAGCCCTTCGCGTCCATCCTGGTTGGCGGCGTCTTCTGGGGGCGGTCGCGGTGGAGCGTAGCGTCGAATCCTAAGAAATCAGAGATTCATCGTTCCGAAGAAATTCCACTTTTGATCCGAGTAATTATTATCTGGCTCGAGTAAATTGTCAGAATTCCGAGGAAATGTCGCGTCCAATTTAATCGATTTCATTCGAGTCATGTAATTATTCCTTGAATTGACGAAACATCTCTCGGATTCGATGAAGATTCTTTTTTCACCGCGGAGAAGGGTCCTTTGCCCCACTGGGGGTTATGGGGAAGAGGGGGTGCACTCCTCCCGGGAGACGAGGGCTTTCAACGATCTGGCCCGACCGGAGCGTCCTCGTCGGGCCCTCTTCGTCCTCGGGATGGTCCCCTCGTCCTTCATCTCAAGGCCGCCCTTATCCTCGAATTATTCATAGCGATTCGCACGCGTGCACGCACACTCACCTCGGAGGGAGCATGCGGTTTTTAAAGGGCCTCCGGCTCCCCGAGATGCAACTCTCGGAGGGAGGGAAAAGGAGGAGTCAAATAAACGAGAGCAAGCGTGCACGCGCGTCCATGGCGACGGCTGCCGGAAGTGGGCCCAAGGCCCAGCTGTTCCCTTCAGGAAGGCTCAAAAATGCCGATCTTGCTCGTCGGACGGAATACTTATTGTTAGACCTGGTACACACGTGCGTGTTTTTAGATTACACCGCTGGAATTGCGATTTGGGGTACCTCCGATTCACCAGGACGCTGTACACTCACGCACGTTTGCCGCAGTGCACGCAATTCTACACACACTTGTGTGTGGTTGGGTACACAGAAAGACGCGAAATGTCTAAAACACGCATGTGTGCAGTGGGTCCCTGGCTGCAGATACACTGCAGCTGATGAGACCAGATCCGACTGAAACGGGTTCATCTCCCCGCAGAAAAAAAAGAAAATGCATTGTAATAAAAATTCGGTTACCTCGGAAAATATGAGAGACTTGATACAATGGGCCAGACAATTATTTCGGACGAATTTCTCTGCTGCTTTGGCAAGACAAATGGTACCTCACCGAGGCGACACAACGACAATATTTTTGGTGGTCGTCGCGAAATTAGCGTGAAAATTTAGCAGGCGTTATTTTTAGGGGTAGTTCTTGGGTACGTCCACGGTTGGTGCCATTGCAGCAAGGCTCTTATTACGGGAATAATTGGCTAAGAAGTGACCGTTTCTATCGGATCCGGTCTAGTCCGATCAGCAAAGTCATTTACTTCTCTCGGAGGTTAGTCCGTCCGGACTCTTAAGCCGCTCCGTCTCGATCCTTTATCTAGTGATGAGCAAGCTCTGTCTAGGTCTTGGTAAAAAATCGGAAGACCCAAACTAAGGCCAAAGTCTAGGCCAAGCCCTAAAAACTGTTGCAAGATACCCTTGCAAGATCAAGATGGTACCCTTAGTCATGGTCATGCATTTGCTCGTCACTAGTCGACAAGCCCGATCAGCTGATTTTGACAGCCGGTCGGACCATCCCTGATCAGCTGACTTTGGCAGCTGTCCAGTCCCTTGTACCATACGCGAGTTCGCGCACAACGTCAAGGCGCTCCCAGGGCCCGCTTCCGGTCCCCGCGTTTCTTGTTCCTCCCCGCCGGGCCCTATGAGAAAAAAAAAAAAAATGAAATATGGACCCGACGTGGACGCGAATTGTGCAATTCCCGAGGGGCATTATTCGCCGATGCACGAGCTTCTTCCTGCGTCGCCGACGCCAGATCGACAGGGTGGGCCCGGGGGGCGGGCCTGTGGAGGCTGTATAAATCTATTACACTTACATTTGCGTCGGTTTCAAAGTATATAGATGAACGTTTTTTTTGTATATGTACTGTAGCATACTAGATGATAAGCGGACTTTTGTACGAGGAACGGCAGGCGAGGTGTGGCGAGCGCCGCGCGAGTCCCCCGGGAAGTGTGTCCGATTCGGGCCCGAGGGGCCTCATCCGCTGCGTGGAGTTCCGAAGGCCGTAAGTTCCCTCGGGAACCACCATAAAAACCCGGTAACTTCTCCTCGATTTTTGCCCAAAGCTCGCCCCTTTTTCTTTCGGGAGAAATCGCGAGAAATTTCATTCTCGCGTTCCTCTCTCGACCCGGCGACCAGCGGCGTTTGCCGATCGCTCGCCCGCCATATTTGTTGTGTATATCGTTAGATGCATATTTAGTAATATATAACTCCTTGTAGAATATCGCGCAGAGGTAGAAAGCAATCTTATGTGGTAAGGAGGCGAGGTGGAGGCGATCCGAGGGGGCGATCGCAGGACTCGATGGGGTTTTGCGACTCGGCGAGGTCGAAAAGGAGTCCGGGACCTGTCCTGGAGATCCTCGGAATACTCCTGGATCCTTTTCGACGTCGACTTCGCCCGATCGAAGGTCCTAGATCGAAAACCAGTCACGCGGATCACGCGCAAATAAAGGGTTGCGACGCGTAACGAGCTACACGGGAATATTAAAAAAAAAAAGAAGAAGCCGCGTTACGGTAGGGATATTAACGAGGATAAGAGTAATCGTATTTGATAACGTGTTAACGGTATAATTACGCACTATCCTTTATGAAGCATTACGAGGAAACGATATCTTACTATACACCCCCATTTAATATTTGTAGGGAGCCTAGTGGTTGCGAAATTCTTCTTTCTTACGGCGGAACGCTACGGATATATACATACGTACATATGTAATATCGATTATATATGTTGCGAGGGGGTTAACCAAGTGACGTATTTTGTCCACCGCGCCACGGCAAAACGTCGTCTGATTAATCGAGTATCGGCCCTTCAAAGTGTCGCGCCGGTTTCGAGTTAACTTAACCTATTATATCAAACTTTGATCTCATGTTCTTTACATTTATTTTGTGTTCTTTTTGTTCTCAATGTTTCTACTCTCTATCTCTCTTTCGTTGTATTAATTAAACGTTACTTCGACTAATACCAGCGATCCCACTACCATTCTTTTTTACGTTCTAAGGCTACGCCGTTTACGCGTTATCTGTTTTTCTTCTCTCTCTCTCTCTCTCTCCTTTTTCTGCGTTTCTTTCCCTGCTCTTGGATTATGTTCTCTTGAATTTTGGTCCTCTCTCTTTCTCGGTTTGTTTCACCTGGAGACGTTTCTAGGGCGCTGCTGGAAATTTGGGGATGCGCGGATTTTAGGGAGACGCCTTCGGCACTTCCCAGGGGGTGTCCTGGAAATTGTAAGGAATCTCGAGAAAGCAAAAAAAAAAATTAGAGAACGGACACTCGAGGGTGAAATTTGAATTTTTGAAATTTTGCGCGGAAAGGAGATTTTCGAGGCGGATAATTTCTGAAGAAAAAAAAGAAACGACCCTTAAGGGGCAGTGCCGGAGGCCGAGGAACGGGGTGTCCCCGTGCAGTATTAATCGCGTGGGTATGAGAAAGGGTAGAAGAAGAAAAAAAAAAAATAGTTAAAGGAAGTGGGACAGGACGGGGGGTGGTTTTCATAAGGGCGATTTTTTCCTTTCCCGTTTCCTTCCTCCTTCGACGACGAGCCGACAGCCAATCACCGCGTCCAGGGAGACGATCGTTTCTGCACCGAGAAAAAAGAAAAAAAAAAAGAAAACACGTGTCATCGAAGCAAAGAATTATTTCACTGAATAGTACCGAAGAAATATATCGTTAATTCCGAAGAGCAATGAAATGGCTGAAATCAATTGTCATCATTCGGAATAAATGTTGCATCGAATTATTCCTTGAGTTGGCGGAAAATATATATTTGATGGTATTCGCAGAAATGTTTCTTCGTTTCGATGAAATCCTTTTTCTCAGTGCGGCGTCGCCACGACGGGGACGCGTTAACAAAAACAGTGCCTATCACACTCCGGTCTTGAAGGGATAACTTTGTACAAAATTGAATACAGGGCCAAGCGAGAAACACAAAGTAATTGTTAGGAGGCGCGCCTACTATTTAGACGGTTGTACTTGTACATTGTATGACGGGGCGAGCAGGCGCCGTGCTACCACGCGCCGCTCTCATTACACGTATATAATTTACACGCATCCTTGCTAAGAGACGTCGTCCTCGCCGCGAGAGGGACGGAAAAGCGAGGGAAAGGAGACAAAGGGGGCTAAATACAGGAGGGGAGGAGAAATAGTTGAAACGCCGTCGCTTTTCCTCCGGCAAATAGGAGCGAAATGGCGGCGGCCGCCGATTACGTACGCGTTTTCACGCTTTACGCAGCACACACGCACCCCGGTCCAAGGGTGGAAACCGAAGGAACCCTCTTACAAACACAGGCTGTGAATTATCTCCGGAAATACGGGAATCTCGGACGAAACGTGGGGGAAAACGCGAAGAGAGAGTGAGAGGACGAGAGGTTAGAGATTCCAGAAATCGAGAAGACGTTAACGACACCCCTGGCGCAGCTCTAAGACAACCTTCTCTTGAATAAAGAAAAATTCTCCGATAAACCTTGGGAACCAAAGAACATTCTGCAATTTTTTTCAGAATTTTCCACGGAGATGTTCCTCCGGAAAGAAATATTTTCTTTACGCTTCTGAGATTTCCAGGGAGGGACTCAGTGCTCGCCAGGAGTTGGAAAGGAAACAATACTGCCAGATTTTATTACGAAATGGGGATGGAGAGATCGTGCATAAATTAGAAGAGGAATGAAAAAGGAAGCGAGGGGTCAAACACATATCAATGAAAAAAAAAAAAATGAAAATACAAAGAACCACCTCGCAGATGTTGCATAAAAGAGCTCCTTACTTTGCCTCTCTCTTGGCGTGCTTCTTCCTCGTTTTGGTCGCGTGTCCGAGGGCGCACAAAACGAATATTAAAAGAAAAAAAAAAAAGAAGGAAAAGAGCGAAAATGAAGAAAACCTCTAGAGAGTGAAGTCCCTCCGAGACGGCGCGTCGAGGAGAGGACTTCGTCAGATCTTCCAGCGAGCAACCCTTCTTTTCATCCCTCGATGCCGAAATGCAGGGAACGCGGTGCTCCCTTTTTATTTCTTTTTCCAGTTATTTCTTTCCTTCCCCTAAGCACCCCCGAGCACAGTTATAGTTCCAGGAGAGAAGAGGTAGCGCGGAATTATAGAGCGCACGCGGGGCGTGTCAGGAATATTCTCGAGTTTCCCTCGGGAACCCCCTTAAGGGGGTCGCGAAAGGGTTGAAAACGGTCCGGAGAGATGCCTGGCGTAGTTCAGGATTTTTTGAGAATTTTTCCAGAACTTTTCGGAATTTTTAGAGAATTTTTTTCACGGCGACTTTCGCGGCGCCTCTTCTCCTTAGAACGAAGGGGTTGGTGATTTCTCCCTAGAAAGGACTCGGGGGGAGGGTCAATTTTGTGTGTCTAAAAATTAAGAGACTACTCTTAAGTACTTACCTAAGCGCGTAGAGCTTAAGGGCGATTTCCTACCTTTTTGGATTTTTTTTCTTCTTTTTTACTTTCCCTTGACGAAACGCACCCGCGGGTGGAGCGAAACAAGATGGCGAATCCGCGCGCAGGGCGAGCATGGAACTTTCTTCGTGGCTTACTCTTGTCTTTGTGAAAGTCGTGTCGTTTTGCGCAAACTTGTGATTCTCGGAAGGGAAAGAAAAGGCCGGCGAGCCTAGTAAGTTATTGCGTAGCTCCTAGTACCTATTTCGTGCGTAGTCTTTTGTCCAGGAAGAGAGAGAGACGGTCCTCCTTCGCGCTTTCCTTCTCGGACGTCCTCGCGGGGAGAGGGGAAACGAAACTCGGCAAAAAATCGAGAGGGACGAAATACAAGAAATCGCGGACATGGACATTTCGAGGATAACGAGTAAAATTAAACCAAAAAAAAAAAAGAATACACGTGAATGTTACAAAGTATATATATATAGATGCTATTGACAAATTGATTATGCGAGGTGCGGAGGGTGGGGGATCGGCGAGTCGCGACAACAGTAATGTGCAAAAATGAGAAAAATTTAGAGATTTAAGGCGACACGAAAGGGGCATCTCAATTATTAATACAATTTATCTCCGAACTGGGTGCACCGAATTGTTTCAAACTTTCCAACGTGAATACGGAGGCTATAAGGAAGGTCCGGGCCCTGAGGAAATTTCACATTTTATAAAAGATATTAAATGTTCATCAAGGAATATATAAAATATGAAATTTCATGGGTGTCAGGACCTCCCTTACAGTCACCACATTTACGTTCTAAAGTTTGAAGCGATTCGGAACACCCAGTTTGGAGAAAAGTTTAATGAACGAGAGCTCGGACGCCACTTTCGTATTGCCTTAAGAATTCAAGGATTTGGAGAATTACAAAATTGGTAAAATTTTGCGACATCACCCGGGACCTTTAGGGGGTCTAGGAAATCATACTGCCAGGGGTCCTTTTTTTTTGTGAAGGGGAGAAGAAAATTTTGTACTTGTGGAAAAGGGACCCCTTTTTGTGGAGCGCCGAAGAAATGCGAAACTCGGCCGGCCTCCGCGCTCTCCGCACATTTCGGGTCATATTCTCTATTATTAGGGGGCGTAATCGGTCAAAATGTCCGGGGTCTCCACTGGTTTTCTCGAGGAATGCACCCGGGGTAGTTCCACCCTGGGGTAGTTACAAATCCACTGCTCAAATACGCGTTTAGGCCCTTACGACTGTTTTCGCGAGCCGGACAATTTGGCCGAAGGCGCCCCTCGTGTTACGATTAGGGTTTTCCAATTTTTAAAGGCGTAAGATTGATAAATGATTACACAAATGAGTCTATATATATATAAATATTATATACATACTATAAAGTATATGTGTAGTAGTTTTTAATGAATTTTTAGCAATGTATATATGTCCAATTGAGAAAGAACGACGTATATATTAAGGGTACGGAGACAACAAGAGTCAGGACCTTCCTTTTTTTTCTTTTTATTTCTTTTTTCATTTTTTGTCAATTTGTTCCTCCACGTTCTTAGTTCCGGGTTTCCTTTCGTTTCTCTCTGTCTGTTTCTCTTCTGCTCTTTCTCGCTCCTCGACTCTCTTCCGTTTTTCTCTCTCGTTTCGTTTAGCCTCGCGGTTGTCGTTGACTTTCGCCGATTTTCTCCCCTTCCGGTGGTTCTTGCCTCCCATAATTCTTGTGTTTGTTTTTCCTGCGTGTTTTATCGGTTTCGCCCCTTCGATGTATTTTTTATCACGCCCTATTGGACGCATCAAAGGTCGAGGACTTCCCCTTTGTTCGTTCTTCGTGTATGGTTCTATTATTTTCTATCGATTTTTCCTCGTTTCGATAGCCGCGCGCGTCCACCGATCGACAAGTTTATCCGTGTTTTGTTTATCACTTTTTTCCCATATCGAGGGATTCGCTCGAAACTAGTCCAGGCGTCGAGAAACGTCAGCGTAGATGAATGCCCGACGAGATATAGGAAGCGTGTAGGTTTTTGACTGGGCGTCGAAAAAGTCGCCGGAAACGAGAAAACCTCGAGGAGAAAGATGACGGGACGAGGGGAGAAGGAAACTCGAGAAAAATATACGAATTTGGAGGTTTTCTTCGAGTTTCCAGGAATTCGTCCGCCCGATTCCAGGAATTTATCGGCGCCCATCAGAGTGCAATATACGTGCGCGCTCGTTCCACCGATTTCCGTTCCTCATTCTGCTTTCTCGTCGCTTCCCGAGACACGAGAGAGATACGTAAACGGGGGGAAGTAAGCGGAACAAAAGAAAAATGAGAAATGCCCTTTTCGGCCAAGGAGTATATTTTTCACACAGAGCTGATATTTAAGAGTAGAGAAGAGAAACGCAAGGACTAAACGAGAGAGCCAGTTTTGTAATACGTCGCCGCGCCGGCCAGGCGAGGATATGATTAAAAAAGAAAAGGAGGAAAAAAAGTAATGAGACGAAGTAGAGGTTGAGGAGGATACGACAAAACGTAGCAATATTTTTACACGAGTTCGCAATGCCTACTGTCGTTCACCGTATATATTCGATGTAAGGAAGGAGTCAGTATGTCTTTTAAGTTCGCTTTCGTCCGTATCGAAGTATAAGTAATGCACGTTGTATTGGAGTTTGTTTTTTCTTTTATTTTTCTCCTTTTCGTTTCGCTGTCATTCTCTTTTTCTCTTTCTGTCCCTCTTGGCCCTTCTTGCTTCGGATTTGATTTCCCACCTTCCGGTCTCCCTGAAAATCGGGGAAACCGCGGAAATCATTGGCGCTTGCGATTACGTAATTTTCTTTTCTTCGTTTTCGTTTTCCTCCATCTTCATCTTCTCCACTTTGTTTCCTTCGCTGCGATTCACCCGATCCCATTGATCGCGTCCAGCGGGGCACTGCTCTAAATTATCTTACTCTAGTTTCTTAAGTTATAACTATACATAACGAGAAGAAGATGAAAAGTTACGCTAACGACTAACTTTAAAGACAGACAAAACACATACACACACACTCTGTACATTTTGTATTTAGTAACCTTGTTTATAATACTTATTATCTTGTTATTAAGTACCCGATTTATATCATTTTTTATCGAAATTATTAAAAAATAATTTAAAAATACCCACCGACGGCCTTGTGAATCATTGCCATCCTGAACATTCTGTTCCTTGTCAGTCTACGATAATAATGCTTACTTACCTCACGAATGTCGAAAAATATAATACATGTACAATAGCGCGTATATTTTGGCACTCGGCAAATATTTCCAAATTCCATAGAAAATCTCTTATCCCTAAATAAATAAATCAATCAATAAAAAACATAATGTGATGTCGCAATTTTTTGAAATTAAGCTGGCCCAAAACGCGTGCGCGTCGGTGTATGCGTTTTGCAACAATTAATTATATAGAGCGTAACTATTATTTTTATCAGAGATATCCTGGAATTGAGAAAAAGGACGTTTCTTCGAGGCAGGTCTTTCGCGAAATTTCCAGCGCAAATCGCAGCGTCGCTCCAGCGATTTCGAGATTGACGAGAATTGCCGGGAGACTCGGGCACCGGAATTTCTTTTTTTTTTCTTCCCTAAGAGATCCATATTTCGCGTAACCGCCGAAGCAGAACTAATCCACGAGAGCACGGACGTACGTCATCCTTTAAAATCAGGGCGCTGCTTATTAATACTCGGTCATGTCGGTTCGTTTGAACGGATTCTGATCGGCGCCGAGTCGACACGTAGGAGAGAAGCGGAATGACAAAACCACTATATCATTCGCGGATAAGCGCTCCCTCGCGAGTAGTAAATTTCGCCATTACGCAACTCCGCATCGGAGTTCACCTTCGACGAGGAAAATCAGCGAGATCTGCATGGAAACGCGTTTCACCTTGGTCGAGATATCGGATTCGAATGTCTTTTCATTCGGGAAAATGGGATTTGGCAATGCTCCGGTAAAGACGGCGGCCATCTTGGATCGCCTCTCGAGGCGAGGAAGTCGCGCAAATTCCCGATTTATTTAACGACGCAACAGATATCCCCGATAATGAATAGGAATACGTATCGACGGATACGTAAGAAAATTACCTGTGAATCTCTGATATGGTCCGACGCGAAAATCCAATATGGCCGACCTGGCGTCATCGCGATATTTCTCCTCAATCGATGTCGCAAAACTCATTATCGGGAGCCAATTCCGATGGAGGGATTTTTGTCTTCGCGTTTCGAGACGATGCGACATTTCCGGCATTTTTCTCTTTTTTTTTTCTGGGCCGGCTTTGCGCGTATGACTCGACTCGAGAACTGGCGACTTTTCGCGCGGCCACGCATGAACGGTAACGCGCAATAGCTATTAATAAGTCATTAGAGGTGCAGAAACCCGCTTTTCTGGCTTTCCATTCCCACGGTCTCGTCGTTATTTCGTTTAAGAATCGCGAGGGAAAGGGAACGGGGAAACCGACAGTGTGTACCTGGGGCATTATCACGTTCGGCGGGTGCAGCGGTAAGTGCGATCTCGCCATTAAACGGGATTGCAGTGCTCGCCATTTTCGGGAACGAGTAAATATTTTCACCTCGGCTTCGCCTTTCGTCACTTTCCGTCGTTTTCGACCCGAGGAGGCGAGTTGAGCCCTGCTGAAAGTGTTGATAACATTTTTCTTAAATTGCTTGCACTTCCTGTAGACGATTAGAGATACGTTCAATTATAAAATGGACGCCTTATTAATCGACTAAAGTGTATATACATTTTAACATTTTAATTAGCGTTTCCATATGTTGAATGGGGGAATCTCAATGGGCTCGGTACCCAATCAACTGATTAAACGAGGACGATTAATCGGTCCGGGAATGATTTTTATTATTTCAGTGTTTATCAACCTTTCTCGGCGATAAAAGCCCGGCCGGCTTTCGCGGCCGATAAATAAACGTGTTCATTATACGAGTAATTATAATATCATTACCATGCGACGCTCTATTGTCCTGGGTGACTACCATTTTTCAACCAGTGTGTTCCAGAACTGCGTACTTAGTCGATGCTACATTACTTCATGGTAATTCGCTAATTTATCGTGTCGTTAATGGTCGGAGGCGCCGCGAGATCGTTCTCGGCGCAATTTATTTTCGCCAATGGCGAGATTAATGCGATCTTCGGGACTAAAATCGCAGATAATCCTGTATAACGCCATGTAAAGTCACAAGCTCGTGTTTCAACCTTCCTTCAATTTTATTCGACTTTTTCCGGCAAAACATAACGTGGCACCTTATCATTCCACCACTCCCTGGTAATAGAATTCCAGTCTATAAATTGTAAATCCATCGTTAGTTTATAGGAGAGTAATATCTGATAATTTCACGTTCTACCGGATAGTATTACCTCGAGGAAAAAAATAAAAAAGTGTGGTTTATGGAGAGTTAAAGAGCAATGTCCGAGTCCTTATAAAACCGCGTTCTTTCGGTGAGGTCCCATTGTGTCCCTAAGGACGCATGATTTCGGAGGCTCCTTAGAAAAACACTCTTCCAGAATGTCGTATTACGGTGAAGCATCGTCGTTTCCTATTTTTTTCCCCTCCTTTTTTCTTCGACTCATCCATCTTGTACCCTTCTACAGGGCCCATGTACCCCGAACCCCAAATAATCGGGGGCAAGGACACTCTTTGAGGAAAAGTACGGACTCCGAAAACGCTTTTTCAATTTTTCCCCCTTCCTCGTCGGGCATTCGGTTTCTATGGGACCCGAACAGAGGTGTAGAAACGTCATAGGAAATGACAGGAAGGTCGCATTTTCGTGCAGCTGATGGACCTATGATTGTCGGGGCTAAACCTTGCGACAACCTCCCCAGGGAGGGACCCTCTTTCGGAGTTTCACGGTAAAGTCTCACGATGCTTTACGTTGATTTCAGAGGCGTCAATATCATCTCATGGGTCTTACCTACCTAAGAATACCCTAAAAATGTCAAATTTCATCAAATAAAAATCCTCTCCAATTTCTCATGTCCAGGAATTTAAAAAGTCCTCATCCACGCATTTTCTTAACACACACACACACCTCGAACATCCGATGACTCACTGCAACTGCACCGCCTTATTTAGCGGTGACTTTATATTTAGCTATTCGGCCCCAAGATTGATAAGTCGTGATAACGAAAACTTAACATCCTACTATTACCCTCGCGCAAAAATTGTCCGGTCATGTTCTGTGCTCATATCGCAAGAATCCAGAAACCGTAAAAAAAAAGAAAAAACAGTACCGCATAAATTGAGAGGTATAATTGTTCTCTTTTTGTCTCGTCGATATAACAAAAATGTTTGAAAAATTTCTTACGACTGAGTTCCTCTTCACGTACACGTTTTGTCACCTTAAAAATTTCACATAGTTTTACTTGGAAAGGTTTATTAATTTTTTTTACCCTCCCAGGGGTTGCCACCGTGAACTCGCCTATCGATGCTATCGACAGTCGAACGTTTCCGCTTTGTAACTCGAAATATTCTCGACGACCCTGGCCGGTATCCAACACCATCGAATACGTTCGTCACGTCTCCGGACGTGCAGCGATACGCATCTCCGTACAGTAGAACGTATTAATTCCTTCGCGGGCGATGCAAATCGCGTCCACCTCTCATCTCTATTGGTAAACAAGGCGGGACGGACATGCATCTCTGTACAGTGTCAAGCATTATAAGTCTCGCAATTGCGCCTCGGGTTCCCTTCCTCGGTCGTAAACAAGCCGAGGAAAGAGAGATCTATTAACGCGCGAGAGCTGGCTGCCGAATCGCGGGATTTCGTAACGAAATTATAGCGCTAGTTATTCCCGAGGTACGTACCCGCTAACGAGCGATCTACTTCCCCGATGGGAATTTATTTATTTACCCGCAAGGCGGCCCGATTAATTGCGCAAGAGGCTTATCGATAGCCCCCTGGTTCGGGGGATATAATTAAATCCCGCCTGGAATCGAAATAAACATATCTCATTACTCGTATGTAGACCTCGGGGACATTTTCGGAAAGCACCTCATGTCGGTATGAGATTGTCGGGGGAAAAGTTATATTAATATTTTCACGTTTTATATATTTATTAAATGACCCTTTCATGTCACCTTAAATCGCCGTCGCGAGAGCTGGCAGCTGCGAGTCCGAGTACCGAGCCCGAGTAAATTGGAAATGAATGGATGCATTATGCAAATCCAGTTTGCCGAGGTTAAGCCCGCCGCGAAAGATCCTCGCCAGCTGGGCGGTAGATTTTCGAGCCTCGATGTTCGATCGCGAATCGATTGACGGACTCGACGGGCGGATTTAGCGTCCGGTCTGGGAGCGATTTCGAATTCCAGCGTTTGCATATTTCTTCCACGCGCCGACTACCGCGTGCTATCGTACGAGGATATCGTACGAGGTGGGAATACATTATAGTAGGTGCATGAAAAAGTAATAATGCATTATTTATTGCCGGTCGCTAGACAATATACAGACGGCCGCGTGATTATGCCGCCGGTTTCGTTGCACCGCGCTCGTTTGAACTCGGCACGTGTCCTTATCAACTGCGAAATGAAGGGCTGTTTTTCCCTTATCGGTGGAAAAATGCCCCCTACCAGAGACCCTCCAAGAGCCATTCTACGTGTCGACGTTAAACGTTCTCATCGACTCCAACTTTATGCCTTTAGATCGCTCTCGAATTATCGGCTTCGACCGCGCGGCACGTTATCATTTCGGCGATTGCGCCTATTTAAGGCCGCATTGCGTCAAGCAACTGCCGATAACGTCGAAAATGCCCGACCTTCCTCACACTCGGGATCTCCGGCCGCGTCTCTTGCTTCTTATTTCGAGTCACGCGGAAACGTAGAAAACGTAGGGGAAGAGGGGGAGGAAAAAAAGGAGAGAGAGAAAATATGACACGGGCGAACTGTCGCGCGAATGTTTTCGTTCGTTTCTCCGGTCTCCGGGCCTCCTCGTTCCTCATTTTCCCCTCGATGACGACATTACCCCGAACGATCGGGTAAATATTTTCGAGCCCGATCGCCTTTCTCTCCTGGCAAACCTTCATACGACGAATTACTGTCTCCAGTTACGCCGTTCTTCCTCGACCCGCAACTGCTGGCAGTTTCCTCCATATCTTCCCGCAAGCTACATAAATGCGCTG